TGCTTACGTCCTATGCTCCGGTCATCTCTGCCGAGAAGGCCTATCATGAACAGCTCTCCGTTGCTGAGATCACCAACTCCGTCTTCGAGCCCGCTTCTATGATGGTTAAGTGCGATCCTCGTCATGGTAAGTATATGGCCTGCTGTATGATGTACCGTGGTGACGTTGTCCCCAAGGACGTTAACGCCGCTGTGGCTACCATCAAGACTAAGAGGACCATCCAGTTCGTTGACTGGTCTCCTACTGGTTTCAAGTGTGGTATCAACTACCAGCCTCCTACGGTCGTCCCAGGTGGTGATCTCGCCAAGGTTATGCGCGCTGTGTGCATGATCTCCAACTCCACTGCCGTTGCTGAGGTCTTCTCTCGCATCGATCACAAGTTCGATCTGATGTACGCGAAGCGTGCCTTCGTCCACTGGTATGTCGGTGAAGGTATGGAGGAGGGAGAGTTCTCTGAGGCTCGTGAGGATCTTGCTGCCTTGGAGAAGGATTATGAAGAGGTTGGCATCGAGACCGCTGAGGGTGAAGGAGAGGAGGAGGGCTACGGTGATGAATTCTAAGTGCATTTAATACTAAGCAACTATTGTATCGGTATGTGGAGAGTCACTGCAATAGCAACTCCATCATGGAAGCATCCGGTATGATTTTGCGAACACTCCAGTCTGTTGAGTTTAACTGAACGCCGAACGCGTTTGTTTTCATGAATGTTTATGTTGATCAGCTTCATTTTATATTCAGAATGCGCGAGCTCGTTCACATACAGGCCGGCCAGTGCGGTAACCAAATCGGCGCCAAGTTCTGGGAGGTCATCTCCGATGAGCACGGCATCGACCCCACTGGTACCTACCACGGTGACTCCGATCTCCAGCTAGAGCGCATTAACGTGTACTACAATGAAGCCACTGGTGGACGTTATGTACCTCGCGCTGTATTAATGGATCTTGAGCCTGGCACTATGGACTCAGTTCGCGCTGGTCCATTCGGTCAACTCTTCCGTCCCGATAACTTCGTGTTCGGACAGAGTGGAGCCGGCAATAACTGGGCCAAGGGTCACTACACGGAGGGTGCTGAATTGATCGATTCCGTTCTCGATGTTGTCCGAAAGGAGGCTGAAGGTTGCGATTGCTTACAGGGTTTCCAAATCTGCCACTCCATGGGTGGTGGTACCGGATCTGGTATGGGAACTCTCTTGATCTCCAAGATTCGAGAGGAGTATCCTGATCGTATTATGGAGACTTTCTCCGTGTTCCCCTCCCCCAAAGTGTCTGACACTGTGGTTGAGCCTTATAATGCTACCTTGTCAGTACATCAGCTTGTTGAGAACGCTGATGAGGTTATGGTGCTCGACAACGAGGCCCTCTATGACATCTGCTTCAGGACTCTAAAACTCACAACGCCTACTTACGGTGACCTCAACCATTTGGTCTCTGCTGCTATGTCTGGTGTCACTACTTGCTTGCGATTCCCCGGTCAGCTCAACGCTGATCTCCGTAAGCTTGCGGTCAACATGATCCCGTTCCCCCGGTTACATTTCTTCATGACGGGCTTCGCCCCTCTCACCTCTCGTGGCTCTCAGCAATATCGCGCTCTTACCGTGCCCGAGTTGACCCAGCAAATGTTCGATGCCAAGAACATGATGTGCGCGTCTGATCCTCGACATGGTAGATATCTGACCGCTACCGCTCTCTTCCGTGGCCGAATGTCGACCAAGGAAGTCGATGAGCAAATGCTCAATGTCCAGAATAAGAACTCGAGTTACTTTGTCGAGTGGATCCCCAATAACATCAAGAGCGGTGTCTGCGATATCCCCCCCAAGGGCCTCAAGATGGCCGTGACCTTCTTGGGTAACTCCACTGCCATCCAAGAGATGTTCAAGCGGGTGGCTGAACAATTCACTGCAATGTTCCGAAGGAAGGCTTTCCTCCATTGGTATACTGGTGAGGGTATGGATGAGATGGAGTTCACTGAGGCTGAGTCCAACATGAACGACTTGGTTTCCGAGTACCAACAGTACCAAGATGCCACTGCTGAGGAAGAAGGTGAATTCGACGAAGAGGAAGGCGAGTATGATATGGAACCCATGTAATTACCTTCCGTGCTCTCCATCATTCTGATCCTCTGGTTGCACCATTGTAGACGTAAGTGCTGGAGCCCCGACTTGTTCTTGGGCTTCCAGGGTCTACAGGTTGGATGTGTCAGTTATAAGTCGGTATTAGTATGAGGTTTATCGATCTCTTTGCTTCTCCGCGGTAACTTCTGTCACCTCTGCTGGTGCGCCAGCTGTGTAACGATTGATGAGAAAGTTCATACTTGTCGGGTTTTGAGTTTTGTAGTATGTAAGGAATGAATAGGTGAGGTATTCGCGTCTCGATAGGAAACGGAATTCGACACTCTGGGACGTACGACACTCTTCGTCATTAATGCGTGTCACTTTATATAGTGCATCATTGTCTGCATAGTTCACAACCTAGCGAGATTAAAATAATGACTCCATAGAGCTATACCACGATGCAATTACCCAACGTTTATCTGCCGACAGGGAGTCACGTCATAACACGTACCCCTCTGCGACTCGCGTAAATTGACGCTAGTCTGAACGGGAGTGTTTACGATGAACTTAGACCATCGAATTACGATGCATCCGGAAAGAATCGCTAGCCTCACCAGCATCGACAGCCATCCTGTGTATAACTGTCATGCGATCGGCAGCAGTCAGCAAGAACCAGGAAATGCGCGTCATTCCATGTCTATTTGTTTGCTCATCGGTCTCTGCAACCCTCGACTCGACTCAACACACTAGTTCTATATACAACACCGCACTTCACAGAACAAACTTAGACAATGTAAAATATCCTTCCTAGAGCTCATCATTGGTTATCGGTATTTTCCTCGATACCTCGGAGCTTCTGAATGTATGCTCTCTCGCATCGAGTTCATCAGTCTCATACTCATCCAGTAGCATATTGACCTCCACAGGTATCGTCACAACTCGGCCACTTTCCAACTCGATGCGGCTCCCATTAAACCTAGCCATTCGACCGAGTGAGGTCGGCACGATGACAGTGAGAGTATCATCATCACCAAAGCGGACCTTGACACCATCTCTCTGTGCCTCCTCATCGAGCTGCCGTTTGATCTCCTCCGAATGCGCCTCAGGATTGCTTACTGTGCCACCATCAGTAGCAGACATGTCCGAGTTCCGGGGAACAGTCACTCGGAGCTTGCCACTTTTCTGGTCATAGACAACCTTCGTCTCTTCCAGCAAACAGTCCTCCGACATCGGATAATATCTTTGGATCTCCGTCACCAACGGGCCATCAGTCTTCCTCACTTGTAGTGCGATACCCCTACCAATTTGCTTCACGGTGATACCGTTATCCTCTTCTCCGAGTTCACTCCGTAGAGTCTGCTTCGGGAGTTGCCCAGCAATAACAACCTCGCTGGCCGTCGTATTCATGCTAAAGGTGGACTCCCCTTCTATCCCCCCCAACGAGCCGGTCATCATCTGACTCAACATTTGCCCGAGTAGTCCGTTGAGAACGTTGCCCACAGGGACCATCCCATGTCGGAGCCGCTTCGGCTGCTGCGCTCGAGCAATCACCGCGTTGTCCCTGCCAGCCAACTCATGGACATCATCGATTGCATCGTAAAGTTCGTTCATAGGGATAAGTGAGAACTCACCCATCGGAAGAATCATACCAATATCCATCCCTCGGCCGAAATCGACGTCAAATGGAGCACCAATGAGCTCTGAGGCCTCATCCGCTGATAGTTCATCACCGTGATTTCGGGAGACCGCACCACGACCATCCTCATGCTTCTCCGCGCATACCAACTCCTCCATCACAAAAAACAATACGATGCGCCTATATCCTCTCATTTAGAGTTCAGTGAAACATAACCTACAAAACGGTCCCAGTGAGGTCTGCCGCCGAATGGCTCCACACGACACCAGTTTTAGCTGGAAACTCTACGGATAATTTCTACCGTCAGCGTCGGCCACACAGAAGTCAGTGAATGTTGCACATTATTATTCGCTAATATAGTAGAGCCTTCTTCTACGTTTCATTGGCACTATTCTACTATTGTCCATCATAATGATAATCACCGAGAGCGCGTGCTCAACCAACTTATCCAAACCACAGGCAGAGTCAGCGTGAAGAGGAATACCATCAGATTTTGCCTCACCTGATGCAGAACAACCACTGCAACACAAGTAGCTACACTGACATATCTCAACGAGTCAGTGAATAGTGCCACAGCCTCCCAGCAGGAACCACTCACCTCAGCGGCCTCTTTCCCCAACTCCTTTTCATACCAGCTATCGAACACCGCCTGTCGCATCGATATTGGCATCTTCACACTTGCCTGAATGGCTAGCTCCAACTAGAACAACAGCCCGAAGATCGCCCACCTTGGTGTCGAAACACTCGTCCAAGTTCGACTTGACTCGCGCAGCGTGAGCGCTCGGCCACAACATGAACAGACACATCCACCCTTGGGGACAGGACTCCTTAATGTATCTAACAGCACCACCACGATGAACAACTTACAAACGAAAAGTTCTATCTACTTCTGGTTCATTTCCAAAGCACATGCCGTGGCATCATCCGAATGAACCTTCCACAGCTCGATGTTCTTCTTCCGCAACCTGTCCCACTCAGCCCCCATGTTGCGGTCCAACTGCGAACGGAAGTCCTTATATGCGGCAGAGTCGGCGACCCTACAAACGAATACAAACAACTCCGTGCAGAGCCGCCAGCCTATAAACTACGTTTCCTCATCACTGTCGAATCTGTCCAACACATCCTGAGTGATAGCCGTGTGCTCCCTTCTAAGAACAGCCTCATCAGCCGGCAAGGCAGTCATCTCGAGCTTCCTCTTCTCAGCTCTGTATTCTCCCATCAAAATCTCTACCTAGGAACAACAAATAGGACGGCGATGCGATACAGTAGCAAATGAACTCGGAATAATATGACGGCAGAAGGCCCACATTAACTCTCTACTACGCCCGAGCCAGGATATCACTGCTTCAGCCATCCCAGTCTGGAATTTCCAGACAATTCAAGCTCAGCATGCATTGTAACAGCAATCATCATCGATTCGATAGGCATTCATATGGAAGATCAGACGGTCCATAGAAGCCCAAGCCATTACGGTGAACCTTCCCTCTAAACTACCTCCTGCCTCAAGTGCTCAGCGAGCCGTACTGCATGTCTAGATGTGCAAGTATCGATACGATCCTTAACCTCCTGTATCAACAGAGCCTTATTCGAACGGAACTCAGGCTGGGAGGCAATCCAAGGATACCTAATCAGCCCTTGCCCGAGGAACCACCACCGGAATATGCCGCCGCAAATATTCCTGCTACGCTCCGCCTACTCTCTAGTGCATTTCTTGGTGAACGAGTCGGTGGTCTCAGCCATGACACCCTTGGCCCAATCCTGCAGGACCGCATCTCCGACCAACTTAGTATTGGCCTCGTCAACAGCGGCGTCACAGGCGTTAATACTTGACTCCAGAGCCACTCGGATCAAATTCGAGATCGCCCTGAGCACGCTCGCTAGTGGGCCACGAGATGCCCAGAATTGATAGTACTACCTGTCGTTCTCGTATTTGAAACGTACCAACAGTGCATCCGCACTTTTCACCAACTCTTGGACCGGATCCTCCTCAAACTTCGGCAGCTGACCGACCATCTGAAAAGCCATGCCAAGGCCAACTTGCACGAGCCCTCCCAACCCACCCAGTCGCTGGAGAGTAACCTCTTCTGTGGGGGCTGCTGTTCGTACTCCTTCAAAATCTCCTTGTACCTGAGCCTCCACTTCAGCAATTCCCACGGCACTGCTCGTACTTGGCAACCTCGACACTAGTCGCCTCTTTGCCAGTCTGCTCCAGAGAGTCCGGCTCGCATGGCAGCGACACCTAAACATACGCTATAGAAATCCTCCATCACCCGCGTACTACATTGAAGAGCTTCTGCTCTATGTCCGATATCAGATCGGATCGAATTCGCGTGACATAATTCTGAACTTGTTCCAACCACAAGGCGTGCGCTTTCCTGAGACCTTATATGAATCTCCCCACGAGAGAGTCTCAGCCCAACCTCTGCGAGGTGCGCATTTTCGTTTCGAGATCTCCATTTCGCGTCGGAAGGCCAAAATCAGCAACCTATGGTCCAGTCACTCCACCAAAGCGCGCTGCTGATAGCTAAGACCATACCAAGTTGGTGTAAAATTCAACTGCCTTATCCCGGGCATCCCTCGAGGCCCTGTCGAAGTCAGCAGCCGTCACAGCCTCTCCTGTAGGACGAGGAGATACACCCTCACTCAGTGTTGTCTCGAACAAGTCATATCTGCCAATGATAATACCCTCAACCCACTTGATAGCTATTACGAGTCCTTCAGCGACACTTCTCCAACCTGAGCTCTCCACGATGCCCAGAGAGACGGTAACTCAGGGAAAAAACCTACACCGTGGAAGTTTCTCCATCATCCGTAGTATACGCTATAGGAGTATCCGCACACCATACGAGGCCCCTACTACCCCAGTCTTATACCCATAGTCGCCGACCCTATTACCTTTCTGCAAGGCCTTCACAATGAAGTTCAAAGCACTTGCGAATCCCTCAGCTGTCATCATACCATCCTCAGGAGAAGAGAGAACGTCGTCCTCGGACGATCCATCGTAGAGCTCCTACACACATATATACCAAACCGTGCCCTCATTCAAAATTTCTCAACGATGAGATATGTGAAATGAGGAATATGCAGTATGCTCCTCCAACCCACCTTAGATCGAACCGTTGTGAAGAGTTCTCCACGCAAGGCTGTGACCTCATTACGGAACTCGTCAGTGAGCTCAAGCCAGCTGAGTCTGACACAGAGGCTTCCCCACAGCATTGCCGCAGCTACTATCCTTACTGGCTGAGATCCTTCAACTGCGACTTGCTAGTAGCTGGCAAGAAGAGTGTGTGGACAGTGAGGGAGGGGAAAAGGCGCGCTAGATAGGCACGGTCCGACTCCTCGTACGAATCTGAGTGAACATCCCATGAAGTAATTTCCAACTAGGAAATTCCCATCGAGACTTTACAGATGCCCCACATGCTGCTACCGACAGAAATTGCCCCCAGGGTGAGCTATTCGTGAGAATTCGATTGTACAGGCGAACAGGCCCACTAGGAATGGGCTGATGACGCTGGAGAGCTACCACCCCGTATTACCATCAGAGTCCTCGAAGCGCTCGCTATCCTCGGTCAAGTACCTGGCGAGGGAGCTTATGGGACCTCCTACTGAGCTCCTATTACGATTTGAGCCACTCCGTCGCGATCGCCGACTCATTAGCCATGGCTGAGGCCCCACCACCTTGTGATGCGGCCATGTCCTGTACGAAGTCTTCAACCACCCTACAGGCGAAGGTCAATACGACTCAACAGTGTATATGGGTTGTACCAAGTGAGAGGAGGAAAGCTCTTCGCCGATAGGAATACTGGGATATCACCCGACGCCTCAGCGATGCTCTCAACCCCTTCCTCCTCTGCTGCTGCTACCGACGGCGCCAAAGAACGCACTCGGAAGAGTTGAGCTCGACGAGCCAACATTTCTACAATGATGATAACTTTACTGGAAACGTTTCTATCTTGGCCTACCTAGAAGATTCACCGCTTGTTGATCGATGACCTTAACCGTGTTGTAGACTAGGTGACTGCCTAGGAGGGTGGCGACTGTGAAAATCTTAGCATCGTAGGTCTCAGTGACCTACGCACAGACATCCATCCTCAAAAGGGGTCCATGAGTCGGCACTACCTGAGGTCCGAAGAACCCTTCAGAATCCATAAGCCATATCTCCGATCCGTCCGGTGCACTTAGGTCGGTACGGCACATCCAAATTCCTAGGGTCTGCGGGGAGGTCTTAGGACCTGATCAAGGACCAGGGACTAACGAGAGGGTTCATAGGGATCGTATAGAATTACCAACGGAGAACGTGGACGGCTTCTGGAGGAGGGAATTCAAGAGAAAGCTCTTGCCAGAATGGTAGGGGCCAACGACCGATATCACGGAAATAGGACGACGTTGTGATGCGGATCGTAGGAGGTTAATCGACTCAGGAACAACCTGTGAGAGTGAGACCACCTCGTGAGTGTGGCAGGAGGGCGCCTCCTACTTGCAGGTTATTGTGGTCCTTAGAAGGCTTTACCACTTGAACAGGAACAAAGAAAGGAAATTTGTCCGACTTGGGCTCCCCACGTGTATCTTGCCTCTCGGCAACGCCTCTGGTGATACTCACCTAAGACATGAGTAATTTCTTTCTAGATCGGCCGAGTAACTCCGACAACGTCATCACCAAATCACTTCACAGAATCAATACACCCGACAATTCACTCAACTCTAGTATAAGAATGTCGATATACAGAGAAAATCGGACAAATTCCTGGAGGATGAGTATGTGCCATCGTACACCCTTCCCAGCCTACTACCAACGACACGACCAGTAACAGCCGAAGCAGCTTCCAATGACTCATAGGGAAACAACAGGTAACTCCTGAGAAGATAGTCTATAGTATAGACTCTATACCACACCGTCGTGTACACGATGATGGGAGTCTGTCCATATGCTACACGAATGTTTCACGCTCCTATGTACAGACTCAACACAGAGTTATTCCGCTTGAGACTTGAACGTTTTCTAAAGGGAACTATCGCCAGGCAGTGCAAACCTTCGGCTTGCCGAACGGTGAGAGTGCGTCGCTCCGTCCTCATCATAAGAAACACTTTATGAAAGGAGGATAACCCTTTATCCCAAGTTAACTTTCGGAAACGAGACACACGTCGTTCCGCTGGCAAAGCAAAAAAAGGGACAGTCGATAGTATCGAATATCGACTCGGTACACAGCGCACGCGTGCAACATTGCACCACATATGCACGCATTAAGAATAGCTTGCAGATCAGAGTGCCGCGTAGATAGTGCTGTTATTTTGCTCAACCCATCTCTCCCACACCGAGTACAAGAGCCGGCTTGCTTGAAGACCACATCTTTCCCATCTTTGACGTCGACGCGACATCCTAGTGGTATCACGGATACCAAGCAGCATTAATCTTGCGAGTGCAGCCTTCAAGCCCGACTCTTCATGGACACGCCTAGCTTGTCTCCAGACCCACGTGTTTCGAGTGTGGTAATTTAACGAGTTAACACAAGTTAAATACCGATACGTATGATCGCGTCGCTTCGCTAGCAATTCCCACTGCAAAGATGAAACCGCGAAGCGAGCGGATCTTCCCCTCGATCCGTTTATCATGGACACGAGATTGAAACTCTTCTCATCACAAGTTATACAAGGTGGCTTTAAACTCAGAATCGTCGGCAGTCGCCTCCATTCTCCGGCTCGCCTTAGAACTTTCCTTATATCATAGCGCGGTAACCGGCAGAAGGACTTACCCCTTTCATAACCTAATCTCAACAGTCCCATTTGCAAGCATCGCAAAGGGTGTAGACACGCACCGTCGGCACACTCCCTGAGGGTCACTCAGACTCTGTGTCTCTCTCTTTGGTAATTCTAGAGTCGATTCGTACCGAACAACCGTGCCAGACCAACCCGAACAGGAGTAGAATATTTAACATAAAACTAGGCGCCCTACGAAAGATCAAAGTCTACACCACCGACGCAACTGCAAGAAACGCTTGTGTCCGATATGGACACAATCATTGCGAAAATATCCTCAGCAGCTGCGTGTGACACAAAGCTGAAGAACAAGTCCTGGTTGACTGAGCGGTAGCTTTGTAATAGATTCACCTTCATTTTAGAGCAATGAAGTGTAGTTCAACGAGAACTGGTGACTGATTTGAAACTTTATATAGTATATGTATTTTAAAGTTCGGTACATGCAGAGTTGATTATCACATAGAGGGGTGACGGTGAAAGTTCAACTCAGTTGATTGATTTTTTATCTGCGATGACATGATCCTGTGAAGGTAAGGAGGAGAGGGACACGCGACACAAAGTAGCTACTTTGGCTTCATGAGTGATCATCAGAGTTAAAGAACAGAATGTGGGCGTTCAGGTAATGCCCATATCCACTACGTCAGGGCTGTGTATCATGACGAATGATCGAGGTTGACCATCGAGGGAGAAATAACGTTAATTTGACTATCACTTGCGAACTTTATCGAGGGTTGAGAGATAGACGATACGACACAACAGAGGAAGTGCGCTGATATTCGATCACTCACACAAAGCGTAATCGATTTTGCCATAGCACTGGAAGGGCAGAGTGAATACCACACAAGCTTTTGATTGCCTTTCAACGGTTAAATCGAAAAAGATAGTACTGGATCGTGGGCCCTTTGCTAGACCGTCTCGTACGATAGTTCCTCATGTTTATGTTGTAGGCTTTACACGTTTTCCGCGCAAAACCATGGCTGCTACTGGAGAGAAGACTCATATGTCTATCGTGATCTGCGGTCACGTCGATTCCGGCAAGTCGACTACCACCGGTCGTTTGTTGTTCGAGCTCGGCGGTGTCTCCGAGAGAGAGATGGAGAAGCTCAAGGCTGAGGCCGACCGTCTTGGCAAGTCCTCCTTCGCCTTCGCCTTCTATATGGATCGTCAGAAGGAGGAGCGTGAGCGTGGTGTCACCATCGCTTGCACTACCAAGGAGTTCTTCACTGAGACTTGGCACTACACTGTCATTGATGCTCCCGGCCATAGGGATTTCATCAAGAACATGATCACCGGTGCCTCTCAGGCTGATGTCGCCCTCCTCATGGTTCCCGCTGATGGTAACTTCGGTACCGCCATTGCCCGTGGTAACCACAAGGCTGGTGAGATCCAGGGTCAGACCCGTCAGCATGCCCGTCTTATCAACCTGTTGGGCGTCAAGCAGTTGATTGTCGGTGTCAACAAGATGGATTCCGATGTTGCCGGCTACAAGGAAGCTCGTTACACCGAGATCCGTGATGAGATGAAGAACATGCTCGGTCGTGTGGGCTGGAAGAAGGACTTCGTTGAGAAGTGCGTCCCCATTCTCCCCATCTCTGGCTGGTGCGGTGATAACCTTATCAAGAAGTCTGACAAGATGGCCTGGTGGAAGGGTATGGATGTCCAGCGTACTGTCAAGGACACCGAGAAGTTCCACGTCGATACCTTGTACGATGCTCTTGAGAAGTTCGCCACTGTCCCCGCGCGTGTCGTCGATGCCCCCATGCGTGTTCCCCTTTCCGGTATCTACAAGATCAAGGGTGTCGGTGATGTTCTCACTGGCCGTGTTGAGCAGGGTGTTGTCAAGCCCAACGAGGATGTCATCTTCATGCCCACTCATACCCCCGCTACTCCCTGCAGCGGCAAGGTCTTCACCATTGAGATGCATCACAAGCGTGAGGAGCAGGCTCTTCCCGGTGATAACGTCGGTCTCAACGTTAAGGGTCTCAACAAGGATAACATGCCCCGCGTTGGTGATTGCATGATCTCCAAGGCTGATAAGACTCTTCAGCACGTCGGTAACTTCACCGCCCAGGTCCAGATCTTGGATGTCCCCGGTGAGATCAAGGTCGGTTACTCTCCCATCGCCTTCGTCCGTACTGGTCGTTCCGCTTGCAAGCTTACCAAGATCAACTGGAAGGTCGGTAAGGAGACCGGTGGTAAGAAGATGGAGGATCCCCACTCCTTGAAGTCTAACGAGATGGCTGAGGTTGTCTTCGAGCCTCTTCAGCACCTTGTTGTCGACTCCTTCAAGCACTGCGAGGGCCTCTCTCGTGTTGCTCTTATGGAGGGTAACGGTGTTGTCATGCTCGGTAAGTGTGTCGCCACCAGCGCCAAGGATGTCAAGTAAGGACTCAACGTGAATCAGTTGATTACCAGTAAATAGTTCACCATTGTCTAGCAGCTATGAGAAAGATTCTTGTGGTTACGTAGCTGACGAATACGTCTTGCCTATTATAAACCTGGGATTCTTTCAACGGAAGACCGCCACATGGCAGGTGTGTAGTTCGTCAATTGAGGGTTTGAATTTTCGGTTTTACTATTATTGACAACTTTATCAGTGTGCCAACTGCGACTTTTAGGGTTATCTGATCACATCAATTTGGAGTATTCGCTGAAAAAAGGATTGCATAGTATGCAATGCACGCCTATTGGAGACCGCCTCCCGAACTTTCGATTTCGCCATAAATTCAGTCCTAGGGCTTTCTACTTGCTAATTGGCTCTTCCGATTCCGTGCTTCGAGGAAAACGGTGCTTCGAACTTGCAGGATAATCAGTTCACTAGCAGATGATACTGAACGAGTGTTCTTGGGTAATCAACTCTTACTTTAGGTCCATTATGGTTCATAAACAGTCATATCTTCGTGAATAATTGCCGTACCCAACGAACCAATAGCATGTCTATCGGCATCGTTGATTGCATCGTTCACATGAGTGGTGTGGTATGACATTGATATTATCCCTCGATGCCTTGATTTTTTTGGCTTCTTCAAAGTTGGAACCTCTGGCATAGGTGCCCCGCGAGCACGAAATGAAATTAAAACAACAGAATTGAAGATGTCAATGACATTGATAAGGTCAATTTCGCGCATTCAATGCGCATCCGACGAACTGATGGTTCGTATGACGAAATAGATGGTGTTGAAAAGGTGTGGTAAATGAACACGCGAGGAGAAAGCGCGAAAAGAGCTGAGATGCAATGCACTTGAAGAAGGTAAGCAGGTCACGGCGATTGGGTCTCGGGATGGAGACCGTTCATTGAGCGAAAATCTGGTTGATGCAAAAGAAGGATTGAAGGAAGCCGAAGTCGTCCGATAGTCGGTACACGACTCGGGATAATAAGCGCGCACTGTGGGTCCGACTATACTCAAAGCCTTGCTAAGTAAGCGAGGAGACGAAGTTGCAGACAATCCTGATTCCTTCGGGCACAACTCATAATAACGCGGAGATTGAGCGGGATAGTTTGGATGTGGAGTTTTCTACATTGATGGCTGTCGGCCATGAGACGCGAAGGCATGCTTCATAAGATCTGGACTTCGAGTATTGTAACACGACTCCACTGTACACACCCAACAGCTCGGAATCTTTAGAGTCCACCACAATCTGGGGCTCTATCCTTTGATTAGAGAAGGAGGCCCCCGATCAAAAGACCGTCAATATACCGTAAACCCTTCGATATCCCCAGATAAACTTCTCGGACAAGACATGACGCGCTGTGATGCTACAGCGGAAGATTACGCTCAGTACACAAATATGTGTCCCCGAGGAGGCATATATCAATGAGTGAACGGCTGCCCCACATCACAGCGCAATCATATCTGAGCGCAGTCCGAAAAGCGCGCGCCATAGTGATCTAAAATACATACTGCGATATTTCAGCGCATAATTCGTTGCGCACGAGAACTTTTGAGCGCAAAGACTGGTTCTAGCTCTGGGTGATCCTCTTGACATTATGTTTGAATTTCAGTCTCTACGTGAAGTCTTTCAAAGGCTACCTATTCAGGAGGGATCGTAACGAGCCCGAACGTTCGAGGAGCGGCTGGAGATGCGTCAAGTCTGATCACCCTCCTGCAGGAAGCCTTAAGTGCAAAGCTCGGTTGACTATCTTAGGCGATCTGAACGGACCGGCCAACATGTTAGTTGTGAAGAATATTGATTAGGTGGCTGAGCATGTTTGTGGGGCCCGATGCAGGGAAGGTGGTTCTGGTGAATTCCATGAAAAAGCCATGGAATGTGCGCGTCAGCGCAAGGCACGGAGACTGTTAACTCTTATGGTTGATTTGTCGCCTTGTTTTACGGTATCTACTGTACTTTTATACGGTATTTACTGTCTGCTGTCTATTGTGCTAGCCTCGATGATTCGCGTCACAGATTTGTGCATGCGTGCTGTTCCCAAGGGTGCGTGAACCCTAGGGTTAGGCGTTCGCAACGACGTTCGTTTGCTTACGTTGGACCTGAGCCCAGGCTCAGAGTGATTTACTGTGATGTGAGGTATATCATTCGCTAGTGGCTAAGCTTCGTCTGAACGGTATCTTAGTCAGGGATTAGTTTACGGTATTGTATACGAGTTAGGCATTGTGTTTACTAGTCACGATGTTATTGACTCGTAGTGGCAAGAGTTCGAATAGAGTCGTTGATCATTCGGGTCAACGGAACCCTGTTGGGAACATTGTGAAGACTAAGGAACGTGCTTGTCGTACGGTTCGTTCTAGGATTTCAGGGAAAGTTAAAAGTGATCCCAGTCACTACGCGCAACGTTTACCTACACTAACTGGGAATTTACCTACACCTGTGGTCAGCGATCACCGCCGTTGTGCACAGGAACTGTCAGCAATGCTGACTCAGCATTCGAGAAGAAACCAGCCGAGGTTTACGACTACGTCACCGGAAGGTCGCCTCCTCAGTACATCGAGCAGTTGCCAAAGCGGTCTTCGGTTATGGAGAACCTCCGTAGATTCAAGGAAAAGAACCACCCGCTGCCGAAAGCTCCTAAGCAGCGTTATGGGTTTGAGATTCCACCTGAGTTCAGTCACGCTATCATGGGGTAGGAGGTTCGTCCTACACTTGTCTATGACTCCGCCAAGGATGACAAGGACCGAATTCTCGTGTGGAGTGATGAACTTTTGGTTTCTTCATTATTGTCTTGTAGTGCCGCTGTGCGATACCGCAGTGGCATTCTTCCAACGTTGAGGATTCTTAAGTCTGTAAGTGCGCGAGACATTGTGTCTGCGTGCAGGTAGCCTGTTTTGCGCGTTGCGTGAAGCAGAAGCTGAGCAGTTGTTGTTGGCAAAGCTCAGTAGTTGAGTGTACTAAGCTCTGGACCGCTACAGAGTTCCTGGTTCACTTACTGCACTGTTGAGGTACGCAACTGACGTCTAGTTACGGTGCAAGCACGTTACGTTGGTCAGAAGGTAGCTTGTATATCCAGTAGTTCAGACCTTGAGTTGATAGTAGTCATGGTTCTAACGCGAAGTGGAGCACGTAGTGAGGCCGCTCATATATCAGAGGGTGTTCGCCGTTCTCCGAGACTTATTCACAAGTGCACTGAGGATACGTCACGCATCAGTACAAGGCAGAGTCCGTCGGTTCGATCAACTAGTACTTGGGGTTGTAAGGCTCGCGGTATCAATGCAGCCGGTCGTGGCAAGGGTTCGGTTGTGGTTACACCATCCACAAATTCTATTCCTCCGGGTAATAGTGCCGTCCCCACTCGCCCTTACGCACACCGCTGTACATATTTCGGGTGATGGTACTTTCAAAACTGCCCCTCTTCTATGGGCCCAACAATATACTATTCTGTTTCGTCATGTATCTGGACGTATGGTCCCAATCATATTCGCTTTGCTCCCGAACCGACGACGACGTTCACACTGTACAGGGAACTCAACACTCTCTGGCAAATGCGCTGATTCCCACGGGCTCCGGAATTGGACATGAAACTGGGGATGCCCCTGGTGGAACCCAGCCTTCTGATGTCACTCGGCAAGCTCACTCACAAACCCAGCAACAGCCGTCATTACCGACTGAGCCGCAGGCTTCGGCACCCGCTGAACCGAGTTCGCAAAAACGGGACCTGAGCAATCTCGATCTCGTCTCGCTGGTGGCCGACTGTCACTGTTCTCGCTCGAGGCTTCTCGTTCAAAATCAAGCGGATCTTGATCTCGTTCTCGATTCTCGACTGGGCGCAAGCGGAAACACTCGCCAGTAATCAGTAAGGTAGACTGAGGCAGCAGGATTGCGGGCCTGCGTCACAGCCTGTGATGGAGGTCTCTCCCGTCGACTGGGAACCTGCCTCAAAGTGGGAGGAAACTAGACACTTCAAAATGCACACCTCTGATGGAGGATATGACCAAGATGCGGTCAGAGGCAGGGAAGGCACCCAGGACAGATTTCAAGCGAGTTTGTCGAATCCGAGAGGTCAAGCAAAACACAACACACAGAGAAGGACGAAACCGAGACAAACGTGAACACGAATGAATCTCGTCTCGATCCGTGACGAGATCGAGACGAGAACGAGAATATCGAAATCGGCGCTGAACCTTCCGCTGGTGCTGAGAACCCCAGAGAGGGACAAGGGTTGCTCGACTGGATACGTATACCTGCTGATCCGTCTTATCCCTTGCCGGAAATAGTTGTGGACCTCACTGATCGTGACTGGCTGATTACCAATGGCGAGATGATTACTGATAGCATCCTGGATGTTTGGATGACGATGCTTTAGAGACAAGTGGGCGAACAAAGAGTGGTCCCTCCGCAAGCCGTTCAGCTATCTGCTCCACTGCTAGACTCCCCTGGATTCCACCGAGTGCCGACGAGTGGCATGGACCATGCCGCATGGTTCTTCAGCCAATTGTGCTGCATAGCCAGAGCCACTACGCAGCCACGGCCAGAGTTGGTGGGACGATATACTACATGGACTCGATGGCCAAGTCGAAGGAGGATATCTCTGAACTCGCCAAGCAGCGCTTAGTAGACTTGAATGGCCCTTCAAGGACGGTCCATTTCATGGGTATTCCTTTACAAAAAATCGGGAGCAATAACTGCGCCCTTCATGTGTTAGCGAGGCTAACGCACTTTGCGCTGGGCACGGGCGACGTGGGAGCGGCAACTTTCGATGGAAGCAGACTAAGGTCCCACGCATTCCTTTGCCTCGAAA